ATGAGTTGACGAGATCTAATCATATCCATTAGATCATTGCATATTAAAGGTTGAGATTGAAATAGATTTTGCATGCATTTTATGTAGTAGTCTATGCATAAGGGTGAATACGTAAATGTAATATAATAGATATTTATGGTTACAAATAAATTGGAATATATCCCACGATTAGCAACTGATTTGTGGGAAAGAAATATTTATTAACGGTAGTATATTATTCTTGATACGTGGGGGACCCTCTGACCGCAAGCATTCGTCAAACAGCCTCAAGGTGCAAGGATTGTTTGACGTCAACGGCCACAGTGATGGTGCTACCGGACACAGGTATGTGCATCTGTTTGCGAACTATGTTATGCTTTAATAGTGGTGTGCATATATTATTTTGGGTCTGTGCATCGGGATCATTTTGTGTGCAAGTTAGTGCATGTCAAAGCGTGGGTGACTAATGAGTGCATGAGGGTGGCGTTTACTTAGAATATTTTTACGAAGGAGGTGTTTTGGGTTCTGTGTATTGATTTTTATTTCCATGTTTATGCGTTTTTGTATTTTACCGGCGTGGTGGTGTTGTTTTGGTTGATGGGGTGTTGTGTTAATTGGATGGTTCGCGGGGTTATTTAATTTTTTTCCCCGGAGATGGTTTTTTGTTTTGTTTTTTTTTCTCCGACTTGTAATTCGTTAGTGAGGTCTGCGATATATAATGATGGAGTGTGCAAATGTCGTTTGTTGTTTTCAAGAAGGTTGTGGCGGGTTTTGTTTTTTGTTTTTTGTTTTTTTGTTTTTTTGTTTTTTTTTGTTTTTTTTTTTTGTGATGCTGTATGTTTTGATATCATTTTTTGGCTGCAGTTTGTACATCTGTTATTTGGATATATCTTGATGAATACATTTACGTATTGGAGCATACATTATATGTGTTGAGTGTGGAAGAGCTATTTTCCTTGTGAAAAACTGCTTTAATTACAATGCATATCATTTTCCATGGGCAGTGTTGAAAACATACGCAAAATTTGTTTGGTTTTTAAAAATTGTTTCATCCTTTGCGACTGATGTACTAAGCAAGGTGTAGTTAGTACCACGGTTGCTGGCGTTTGAATTACTGCTTGTACATCATAGGGGCGTACTATGTGCAAGTTATGCCTTGGGTTAGTGCAATGCAGATAATTAGTATGTGCAATGATTTACAAACCCATACGTATAGTCTAATTATTTTAATTAAACTGCATATCAATTTGCTTGTGCAGTGTGGAAATCCATCTGAAATGAGTATGTTATTTTTAATATTGTTGGGCGGTTTGAGATGGGGTTTACTACGACTGGTGTATTTAGAAACACGATTGTTGGGTGTTTTATTAGCGGCCTGTGCGTCATTGGGTTGTACCATGTGCATTGTGGGGTCTGGGTTGGTGCAAAATAGAAAATGAGCCTGTCCAATGAAGTATAACTCCCATACGCTTAGAATAATTATTTTGTTGATGAGAATATTAGGCGTGTGTTATTATGAACATGTTAACGAAATATATGTTACAGGTGTGCACAGTCCAGACGACATTGATGCAAATGAATCAGAACTGGATTGTAGAATGGATATTAGCCCGGGAGGTACGAAATATTGGTATACAGAATGCGACCGTAGTCTGAAACCATATGAAGGTCAAATGTTTAACACACTAGAAGATGGAATCAAATTTTATACGATGTATGTCGCAACAACCGGAATTGAACAGTGGTCGGCACCACAACGGGGTGGACTAGTTGACCTCGATGCACAACAGACGACCCAACAACAGGGGGGATTCAAACGCCTCTCCATCGTTTGCTACAATGAAAACAACGAGTCACTTTATTAAAAAGAGAAAGTACTGCACAGACCCCAATTGTTATATGCACATTTCTTTAATCTTTAAATAAATTGTTGGCCGAATCACTTTAACAAAAATCTGTTTTATAACCAACTGTGTATGGGGTAAACACACAGCAATTGTTTCTGGATCAATGCATGAACCCAAGGGAAACATAGTGGTGAAAGCTACATACTGGAAATCTGTAAAATAATCTTCTATTTTTTATTTTTTCAAGCAATGATCAACCATTAGAAGATTGCGACTAATGTTGACCAAGTGCTCACCAATGAACTTTTAAGAAACGAATCCAGGGCTCCAGGCCCATGCACCTCTCTAAAACCAAAGGTAAGAATTTCCTCAAACAAAATTGTTAAGCTGGTTAGTAATGCACTAATGCGTTAAGAATTTCCTCAAAAAAACTACTGCACAGACCCCATTTGTTATATGCACATTTCTTTAATCTTTAAATAAATTGTTGGCCGAATCACTCTAAAAAAAAACTGTTTTATAACCAGCGCATTTAAAGAATTTTAAAAGCAATTTAATAACAGTGAAAAACAAAAACATATATAATTGGGAAATAAACACTATCGAAGTCCTGATATATACAAAAATTGTTATTGCACACTCCGACCTGATATAATGCACAATCTCACCTCCCTAAAAATATACACTTACTATAGGAAGCTAACCAGAATTTTTTTCCTACCAAACAACAAAAAAAGCATAAACCACATTGCCTCTATGATACATTTTTCCTACTTTGTTATGAATGTAGACTACAACTACCCTTTCTAACCAGAATACAAAACAATGGAATAAATATCAAAAAGATACCCAAAAAAAATGCAAATGAATTTACATATAAACAAAATCAATTCCAAAATTGCAAGCTACAAAATGCTTTACTCAACTTCAATTGACGAACTCGATGAATAACAAAGTTAAGGAAAACAAAAAGAAATTAAAAAAAAAAAAACAAACAAATTGATGAACAAAGATTAATTAGTCAAACATAGATAACACCAGAATACACAAGTACACGAATTAGAGTGGCCAAATAGTTTTTGCACACGCCGACATGATATAATGCACAAACTCACCCCCGGACCCTAAAAAAAAAAAAAAAAAAAAACTGCTACGAACCATCCACCCCCCGAAAGCCTAAAAAACCAGTATTATTTATGCATGGTTGATACTCCCCTCGGAGATTTACAACAACAACAACAACAACAACAAAAAAAAAACCCAGTAAACAACCATACCCCCCACCACCGCCAATTGAAGAAAAGCCACACAGAAAACGCCACAACAACAAATATGCTTATTACAAACGCCACCCCCCAGTTTTACATCAAAAAAAAAAAAAAAACCAGTAAACCCAAACCGGAAACGCCACAACCAAGCATATGGTTATTGCACACGCCGACGTAATGTAACGCACAAACTCACCCCCACCCGGGAACTTAAAAAACGACAACACCCCCGGTGACCCATCCTCCCCACCCGGAAACCCTGACCCATCCTCCCCACCCGGAAACCCTAAACAAGCAGTATTTTGCATGTTTCGTATTCCACTCGCAAATTAACACCCAAAAAAAAAAAACAAAAAAAAAAAAAAACACCCCCAGTAAACCCGCATACCCCTCCCTCCACCGGCAACAAAAAGAACCGCCATACCCAAAAATATTAAACCGCCTAACCCCCCAGAAAATATATATATATATATATATATATATATATATATATATATATATATATATATATATATATATATATATATGTATATATATATATACATACATATATATATGTATATATATATATACATATATATGTATATATATATATACATATATATATATATATATATATATATATATATATATATATACATATATATATGTATATATATATATACATATATATATGTATATATATATATACATATATATGTATATATATATATATGTATATATACATATATATATATATACATATATATATGTATATATATATATATATGTATACATATATATATATATATATATATATATATATATACCCGCCCTATTCTCTCGGGGGTCGGTTGGGAGAACTATTCAGTATACTATTCTCTCGGGGGTCGGTTGGGAGAACTATTCAGTATAAAAGGGCGTATCATTGTCTTTTTAGGACATCTACTTCCTATCATTATTACCATATTTACCTTGTAATTCTCCCGAAAGCATTATCAATACAAAGGTGTCCCCGCGACACACATTCAACGTCTTTCCCAATCCCTTATCTATCGGGTTTAGTAATTCGGGTCTACCCCGGGTTAATTAAATCCATAATTGGTGCTCTTATTGAGAGCTGAACTACAAGCTCGAGCGTGCTCCATATCCAACGAACTATGGCAAGGTCGAGGTCCAACTCTCGCGGCTCCCGTAACACCCGTGCCTCCCCGACTAGGGGTGGCCTCAACGGGACCACTAGTCAGCTACAAATCCCATCTTTGAGGTCGGCGGGTGACCTTAGAGACCGCCTCAACAACCACTGCAACGACACAACGGCTGCCCGTCCTCCCCCGGATCCTGCCCTCTTCTGGGAGGGGGCGGCCGCCCTCCAACAGGCCTCAGTGACATTGGACCGCCTCGCGCGGGGGCTCCAAGAAAGCGTTCCGGACGGCCAAGGGGCTGCCCAAAGGACCCTAACCCCGCCTCCAGCACCCTCGAGGGGGCGTAGCGGCCCGAGCCGGCCACCCCACGCCCGTGCCGCCCAGACGGAGGGGGAGGTTAACTCGCCCCGCCCCTCGGATAGGCGGGGGGGAGATAGCGTCCACTTGGATCAGCATCGAGATGGGGAGAGAGGTCGTGGGAGGTTGGCCCCAGCCATGTCCGCCCTGGAGAGGTTGGGCACCCGCATATCTGCCCGGGATAGGTTGGGCCCAAGGCCTCCCGCTGCCAACGGACCGCCCACAGTAGGGTCGTGCTCACGAAGGTCGCCCTGCAGGAGGCCCCGAGCCCCGCCACGACAGGAGTCCCATGCGGGACGATCGCTAAGCCGGGGACCCCGTGTCCCGGCGCGGCAAGAGCAAAACTCCCGGGCCGAGCGGTCGGGGGAGTCAAATGGTCGAGCTCCGACTCTCATCACGCAGAGGTCGAACAACTCCGTAGACGGATGGGCGAGCTTCAGAAGCAAATCAACGACAGGGACGGGTCCCCGGAGCCCTTTGATGTCCTGACTACCCCGTTCACGAGGGACATCATGGATGAACCCCTCCCCGCGAACTTTCGATTCCCCGCCATCCAAGCATACTCGGGGACGACCGACCCGCGTGAGCACCTGAACTGGTACATGGCTGCCATGCTGATGACTAGGGCCAGCGACGCTATCATGTGCCGGGGTTTCCTATCGACCCTAGACGGCCACGCTCAGGATTGGTGTGGGTCCCTGCCAGAGGGGTCCATCTCGACCTTCGCCGTCCTCACCAGGCGTTTCATGTCATACTTCGCTGGCCACATACGGAAAAAGAAGCAGTTCGCCGACCTATGTTTTTTGAAACAGAGGGGTTCGGAGTCCTTGGCCGACTTCCTCAACAAGTGGAAGAAGGAGTCGATAGGGATCTCCAATTTCGACGACAAGGCGGCAATACCCATCTTCAGAAGCAACCTTAGATCCGGCCCCTTCCATCAGGACCTCATCCGATACCCCCCCAAGACCTACACCGAGTTGATGGACCGCGCATCTAGGTTCGCGGACGCGGAGGTAGCCGAGAAGAGAAAGAAGGAAGAGGAGGAGGGGAAGGATCGTAAAGGCAATGAGCCTCGAGAAGAGCGCCAGGCACTAAGGCCGCCCCGGCGCGAGGCTCCTCAGGAAGACCGTCGGGCACCCAGGCCTCCCCGCCGTGAGTATGCCGAGGGGCCCAGGTTGACCCCCACGCGTTTTCTCACCCCACTGACGCAGCCCGTCAGCACAATCTTGGAGCATGCAGAAGGCCAGGGGATCGTGGAATACCCGGGAGAGTGCATGAAGATATCCCCAAAGGTAGACCACAACAAGTACTGCAAATTCCATCGGCAGTCAGGGCATGACACGGACGAGTGCATCCTCCTCAAACGGTAGATCGAGGAGCTCATCCAGAGGGGCTATTTGGGTCAGTTCGTGCAATGGCCTGGACAGGGCCAAGGGCAACATCAAGGCCGCGTGTGGAGGAAGGGAGGCAGCTCCGAGCCCTCCACCTCCGTGCCGCGCAAAAGGGAGCTTGGCCAGCTCACCGACGAGGAAGAAAGAGAACTAGACAACCCCCACCCCCAGAAGAAACAGGCCATCCATGTGATCTTTGGGGGGCCTGAGGGGGGACACGCCCGCAGAGAGGAAGAAATGGGCACGGAGCCTCTATGTAGGCGAGGTTGTGCGACCCCCACACGAGAAGAGGCCCCGGAGGGGGCCCATCACCTTCACCGACGACGACCTCCCAGACGGCCCCCTCCCTCACCGAGACGCCATGGTGATCAAGATGGAGATCAATGAGGTGGTCGTACACAGAGTATTGGTGGACACAGGCAGCTCGGTGAATGTGATGTACCACGACACATTCACCCAGTTGGGGTTATCAAGGAAGCAGCTAGGGCAAGTGAGGACCCCCTTATCTGGGTTCACGGGGGACTCCATCGAGACAGAAGGATCAATCAACCTCACGGTCGAGATAGGCGCCCCACCTCACACCAAGAGGTGGGAGGTAGAGTTCATGGTGGTCAAAATCAGCTGCGCCCACAATGTAATCATAGGCCGACCTGCGCTTGAGGACCTCAGGTGCGTGATCTCCATGGAACACCTGTGCCTCAAATTCCCCACGCCAACCGGGGTCGGGGTCGCCCGAGGAGACCAAAGAATCAGCCGAAGCTGCTACCTCCGGGCATGCAGACAGATAAGCAAACGGGATCTCCAAGTACACACCATAGCTGAAAAGGTGCTAAAGGAGGAAGAGGGACGCCCGCGAGCCGAGCCTATAGTGGAGACAGAAGATGTCATTCTTGACCTCAGCCACCCCGACCACGTGGTGAAGGTGGGAACCGGGCTCCCCGCTGAGCTCCGGTCCCGCATCATCAACGCCATCAGAACCTACAGGGAGGTGTTCGCGTGGGGACCCGAGGACATGCCGGGACTCAGCAGGGACGTCATCACCCATAGGCTCGCCGTCGACCCCACTATCAAGCCGGTGCAACAACGCAAGAGATACCTCTCCGCGGAAAGGAGGGAGTTCGTGAGAAAGGAGGTCAACACCCTCCTCGAGATCGGGCACATACGAGAGGTCCTATACCCCAGATGGCTAGCCAATGTAGTCCTCGCCCCAAAACCACCTACCTGGAGGATGTGCGTGGACTACACCGACCTCAACAAGGCCTGCCCCATGGACCCTTTCCCACTACCAAATATTGATCAGCTGGTAGACGAGACAGCAGGCTGCGCCCTCATGAGCTTCCTGGACGCCTTTCGGGGGTACCACTAGATCTTTATGCACGAAGACGACGAGGAGAAGACAGCCTTCACGACTCCCGAAGGAGTCTTCTGCTATTGAGTCATGGCCTTCGGGCTCAAGAACTCCGGGGCTACCTACACGCGGATGGTGGCCAAGGTCTTCAAACAGGTCCTAGGCCGCAACATGGAGGCCTACGTGGACGACATGATAGTCAAAAGTGCGAAGGCGGAGGACCACGTCGATGACCTCGTCGAGGTATTTTCCATTATGCAGCGTTTTGATTGAAGGTTGAATCCCAAGAAGTGCACTTTTGGGGTGCATGGGGGGAAGTTCTTGGGCTACATGGTCTCAAAGGGGGTATTGAGCCCAACCCCGACAAGGTCAGGGCCATCCTAGACATGGAGCCCCTAAGGCCTCTCCGGGAGGTCCAACGCCTAAACGGCAGGCTAGCGGCCCTCGGCCGGTTCCTCTCACGGTCGGCCGAGAGGTCCCTCCCCTTCTTTGCCGTCCTCAAGAAGAGTACTGGGTTCGAGTGGTCCCCCGACTGCCAGAAGGCCTTCGACGACCTCAAGGCCTACCTGATGTCGCTACCCCCGCTTGCCAAACCCGAGAGAGGGGAACCCTTATACCTATACTTGGGCATATCGCAGGCCGCGATCAGCTCCGTGCTGGTCCGGGATGATGCGGGCATACAACGCCCCGTCTACTATGCGAGTAGAGCCCTCCGAGGAGCCGAACTCAGGTACTCTCCCACAGAAAAGGCCATTTTTGCAGTGGACGTAACCGCGAAGAAACTACATCACTATTTTCAGGCTCATCCCGTCCATGTCTTGACAAATCAGCCCCTGGAGTCTGTGCTGAGGGCATCGGGACCGTCTAGCAGGTTAGTGAGGTGGTCTTTGCACTTAAGCCAGTACAACATCCAGTTCAAGCCGCGACCTGCTATCAAAGGGCAGGCACTTGCCGACTTCATAGTAGAATGCACCGCCCAGGAGGCCTCGGAGCAGGCCCGGAACGAGGAAGAAGAGTGGTGGACCCTATCCACAGACGGGTCCTCCAGTGCCAAAGGTTGCGGAGACGGGGTTGTCCTCATAATCCCCGAGGGCTTCAGGGCTTACTATGCGCTCCGTTTCCACTTCAAATTGTCGAACAACGAGGCCGAGTACGAGGCCCTTCTGGGGGGTCTTCGACTCGCACTAAGCATGAAGGCCGAGAAGCCAAGAGTGAGGTGTGACTCCAGGCTGGTGGTAGGCCAGGTTACGGGTGAGTTCGAGGCCAATGAAGACAGGATGAGAAGGTATCGAGACGTGGTATTACAACTCCTGGGACAGCTGATACACCACGAGGTCCTACAGGTGCCGAGGGAGCAGAATGCAGATGCGGACATGCTCTCCAAGCTCGGCCAGGGGGTCCTCGAGCATGTCTCCAGGATTGCCCGAGTGGAGGACCTAATGAAGTCTAGCCTGGAGGCCTACCCGGTCCTTCCCGTGCAAGCCCGACCTGCTCGTTGGTTAGACCACCTGAAAAGGAATACAAGAAGACGGGCAACCTGCCCTCAGACGAGGCGGATGCCAAGTGTGTACAGAGGAGGGCCCCAACCTACATGCTCGTTGGGGACATACTCTACAAGCGGTCTTACAATGGCACCTTGCTGCGCTGTTTGTATCCCGACGAAGCAAGGTCGGTCATGGAGGACATCCACGAGGGTACCTGCGCCGCCCACCAGGGACCCCACACCATGGCCCGGAGGGCGATCTTACAAGGTTACTTTTGGCCCAAGATGGGGAAAGAGTGCACGGATTATGCGAGGAATTGTCCAACCTATCAACAATGGCAGAACGGCCCGGGCCGACCGGCTACCAACTATACCCCGATCAGCTCGGTCATCCCTTTCTCCAGGTGGGGGGTCGACTTAGTCGGGGCCCTCCCCATGGGCTCCGGAAAGAGGAAGTACCTGATAGTGGCAGTGGACTACTTCACCAAATGGGTGGAGGCCGAACTCTTGGCCAGCATCACGAGTGCTAGGTGCAAGCAGTTCATATATAAGAATATATTGTGTCGCTTCGGAGTCCCGATACAGATCATCACAGACAACGGTCGCCAGTTCGAGAGCAAAGAGTTTAGTGAGTTTTGCGCCCAGTGGCACATAACGCACACCCGCGTGGCTGTCTCCTACCCCCAGGCCAACGGACAAGTCGAGAATGTCAACCGCACCATTGTAGATGGTCTACAAAAAAATCTCGAATCAGCGAAGGGCGCGTGGGTAGAGGAGTTGGACGTCGTCCTGTGGACCTACCGCACTACCCCGAGGAGGGCCACGTGGGAGACCCCATTCTCCTTATCCTACGGCTTCGAGGCTCGGGCCCCCGCTGAGGTGGCCATACCATCCTATCGAGCTCAGGTGTATGACCCCGACCAAAATGAGGACAACCACAGTATAGAGCTCCACTTCATTGACGAGAGGAGGGAAGCCGCGACTGTCCGTGCCGAAAATTACCAGCGCCAGGCCAAGACCTATCATGACAACGAGTCAGGCCTCGTTATTTCCAGGTGGGGGACTACGTCTTGAGGAGGCGCGAGGCAAGTCAGCCCCTCGAGGGAGGCAAATTCGCCAAGAAATGGGAAGGCCCGTACGTAGTCACAGCCGTGGTCCGTCCCGACAGCTACAAGCTCAAGACACCAAAGGGCAAGGCGATAGATAGAGTCTGGAACTCCGAGCACCTACTCAAGTATTTTCAATAACTCCTTTATCATGTAGGGCGGCCCGCCCCCCTTTTTTCCTGTTCGATCATATCAATAAATGCAATAAATACTTCGCCACGAATGTGCTCCGCTATCCGGGGAGGAGGTCCCCATCCGGCGTCTCCAACCATTCTAAAGGGGCGCGAGGTCCGACCCCGCGTACTAACCCCGACGGAAGAGTCCAACAGCCGAAGTCCGGTGACTTGAGGCCGACGGACGGCCCTAAGGGGTCACGAGGCCCGACCTCGCGTACTAACCCTGACGGAAGAGTCCAACAGCCCAAGTCCGGTGACTTGAGGCCGACGGACGGTCCTAAGGGGTTACGAGGCCCGACCTCGCGTACTAACCTCGACGGAAGAGTCCAACAGCCCAAGTCCGGTGACTTGAGGCCGACGGACGGCCCTAAGGGGTCACGAGGCCCGACCTCGCGTACTAACCCCGACGGAAGAGTCCAACAGCCCAAGTCCGGTGACTTGAGGCCGACGGACGGTCCTAAGGGGTCACTAGGCCCGACCTCGCGTACTAACCCCGACGGAAGAGTCCAACAGCCCAAGTCCGATGACTTGGGATTGACAGGCTACCCTCTGGGGGGCACGGGCCCCGGCCTCGTGCACCTCCTGTAGGAGGGGTGTTTTGAACGAGGGGGACTCTCAACGGAGTCCCCATAAAATAAAATAAAATAAAAAAAACAACAACAACAAAGGCGAAGACAATATATATATCCAAAGCATGCATATAAAATCCACAAAGTGATGGTCTCGGACCCAAAGAAAACAAGTTCGACATACATAGCAAAACTCAAAATAAAGAAGGACCTACACCCCGACTAAGGGGCACCCTCAGTGTGAGTAGCCTCCGACCGCTCCGCCCCTGGGGCCGCTGTGGGGTCCCCTGCTTGAGA